ATCCTTTAGTGTCAGGCTCTTGAAATTGACGGACCACGTAGGCTCTCGGGGATGCCTCTGATCCAGGATTCTAGGACTTACTTCCATCTCTGTAGTGCTGTCTCCCAATTTCTTGTTGAGAGAAGCACAGACAGACTAAGATGCCTACAACTAAGATGTAGGGTGGGGTGGATGGGGCACGATCATCCCAAGATCAGGGCAGAATCTAGGAGAGGACCAGAGCCTTAAGCCTGGGTACGACTCTCTTCTGGGGATGGATGATCCGGGGACTGGAGTTTCTTGGCTGCTCATTCCACCTGCACTCTTTTCTAGGGCTTCTAGCACATATATTTCAAACACACCTCATCCTGCCTTCTTTTCCTCTTTCCTTTTCCTCTTTTTGTTCTTTCTTTTCCCTTCATTTCTCTTCCTCTTTCCCTCCTTTTTCCTGACACTATTTGACTTGTTCCCTTTTCATTACAGAAATATTTTTAAATTTTATTTTTAAAGAGGGTAAAATTAAACATAACCAAGCAGATCATAAGATAACAATGTAAAAGGCACAGATTTCTTTTTTTTTATTTAAGGAGAAAAGAGAAAAAAAAACAGTGAAAGCGTACAAATTATACAGATTTACAGAAGAAAAAAATGAACAGTAGGAAATCACTAGTTAATGGATTATATACTGTCATCTTAGAAATAATTGTTCAAGTCACAAAATTAAAGCTTGTAGAGTGGACATTCCAACAATGATACTGCAAACAGTTCTGTTCAATGATCCAATAAAACTCTGTGATATCATTTTCTATCTTATACACTTAAATATACATGCAGCTATATAGGTTAGAACACTTTCTTTTCCTCTCTTTTGTACAATGACTATTACACCTTTTGGGTTTCATTGCTCCCACGGTTCTTATTGCTTTTTTGGAAGAGAGTAAAACCAAATGAGACATAACAGAACAGAATCGGTCAAGTCAAAAGGGTGGACATAATAGATAATATAAAACATAATACAAGGTGATCAACAATGGTTACCATAATGCCTCCCGCTATCTCTAATAGAATTGCCTATATCATTAGTTATAATACAATTGAACAAAACAGTAAAGAACAAAACCGACAAAACCAAAGCATTGGTGACATTGTAGGTCTTCAAAAGTAGATAAAAGTCAACGAGAATGGGCATTATAATGAATCTCATTATCTTCACAGCTGATGCCTAAACTTTCGAACCTGATACTATCCAGCAAAACAGAATAGGGGAACATCAGTCAAAAACAAGATGGTGAGAGTAATACAGGGCTTCAAATCGAGATAATAGAAAGTCAAAGTGGGTTACTATATTATATCCTGCTATTTTTTCCCTTTAATTAAACGGATAAAAATAAAAAAGTAAATAATGGAGTGGAGATTGAGAAAAAAGAGGGCATAACAGCAAAACAGCACAGATCAAAACATAACCATTTAAGCAGAATAGTGTTTCACCACCAGATAATTCCTACCCAAAAGTAGTTACCATATTGACTCTTTCCTTGAAGTCCTTGAGTACAACTTCGTATACTGTAGCATTAAGTATATCAAAACAATGTAAAACCATTTAAGACAATGACAGCATTACAGAGTACTTAGAATCGACTAACAGAAAATGAACAATGGTTTCTGTATAATCTCCTTGTCTTTAAAAGGTTTTTGCTTATACTATCGTACATAATAAAATCCAATAAGATACAACCTGTTTAGACCATTGGAGACAGAAGAACAAAAGCTAGATGAGACTTCAAAACAAGATGATACTAAATCAGTATTACCTATTAAGATGTCATTTTCTCCAAAATAGCTGTTCCTATCATCCAATCTTCTCTGTCTCATTTCTGTTGAGCTCTTTTTCTGTCAGTAGCTGTCAGTTTGTCTTCTTCATTTTGTTCTCTGCTCCATTCGTTGTGGCCTCCCCGCCACTATTTCTGGGTTCTTTGTAGTTTTCTTTTTTTAGAATATCCTGCAATATTTTCTGTAGGGTTGAATTGGTGGTTGCAAATTCCCCCAGTTCCTCTTTATCCTGGAAGCACCTTGTTTTTCCATCAATTTCCAGGGACAGTTGTGCAGGATATCTCAATCTTGGCTGGAGATTATTATCTTTCAAAGCTTGAATTATTTCCCCCCATGCTCTTCATGATTTGATGGTTTGTGCAGAGAAATCTGCTGTAATTCTGATGGGTGTTCCCTTGTAAGTGGTCTGTTTCTTGTCTCTTACAGCTTTTAATATTCTGTTCTTGTATTGAATTTCTGGAATTTTTATTATTATATGCCTGGGTGTTTCTCTGTTAGGGCTGTAGGTAGCTGGGGTCCTGTATGCCTCATACATCTGAGTATCTTTACCTTTTGCTAAATTAGGAAAATTCTCCTGGATTATTTCTGTGAGTAGCTTTTGTAGTTCACTTGTTTGTGTCCCTACTTCTTCTTTTATGTTCTTAATCCTTAAGTTATGGCTCCTCTTATCATCTTCTTGTCTCTGTATTATTGCTGTTTGTTTCTTTGTTATTTTTAAGAAGTTTTTCATTTCATTCTCCCATATTACGAGTCTGCCCTCCAGTTCAGATTGTCTGTCCTTAGTTTCTTTCAAGCTGTTATGCCAGTCTTGGATAGACTTCTTAATTTCTTGATAGTCCCTTTGAACCTGCTTCACGTACTCTATGCTTTCTCTGTTTTCTCCATCAAACAATTCTCCCCTCTTTTTCTGTTCTTCCATTCCACCATCTGTTTTTTCCTGGGTGGTGCTTAGCATTTCTCTAACTATTCTGCATACTTCTAGCTTCAGGTCGTTGATAACTTCATTCCTGAATTGGTCTATGAGGCTCTCTATATGGCGCTTAATGTCTATTGGTGCGGTGTCTGCTATTGCCTGTTTCTCAGGATTGGGGGCTGAGGAGCCTTTCTTGTTGCTGCCTTTTCCCATATTCTCTGTTCCTTATATATGCAAGTTTACATAGGAGGCCCAGCTTCCCTGCCTGTCAGCCACAACCTGATCAAATTGTGCTGGCTAGGTGTTCCCGCCCACCGCTGCGCACCAGGGAGTTACGGACTAGGCAGCCTACGTGGGAGTCAGTCGCCCCTGCGGGCCACCGTCAGGCTCTGGGATCTGGGTTGGGCCAGCCTACCAAGTCTGCCCGCAGTGTCACGCAGGCCAGGCACTTTTCACCAATCCCGTCCGAGAGGGGAATGTGTGGCTGGAGTCGCCACCGCGCCCTGCTCTTACAGGACTGCCCGAGCCCAGAAAGTCCTCCGCTGGAGTCAAACTGTGGTAGAGTGTCAGTTTCTCTCACTCACCTCGCCACAAGTCAGTTTTCGTGTACGCCTCCTTGTCCGTCCTGTTTTCGACTCTGTTCGCAGACTCCCGTTCCCAGAGCTTCTGCGCGTCTCTCCTTGCCGAGCCGCTGTGGAGGCAGCCAGCCGCCGGGCGGCGGGAAACCCAAATCGCGGTTTCCAATGGCGCGGGGTCCAGCCTCCACACCGAGTATTTTCTGTTCCTATTTTAGCACCAGGACTGCATTCCAAGTTGGTTTCTCTCAGCCCAGTTCGTTCCTGAGTCAGCAGAGCATATCTCTACCGTCTCCTTAGTCCGCATCATTCCTGACTTCTGAGCCGAGCCTTTCAGAGAGCCTCCGGTAGTTGCTGTTATCTGTCCGCCATGTTCTCCTGGCAATGGCACAGATTTCAAAGCAAGACCACTGGAGATCTTCACTGTCTATCTTATTGTCTCTTGTTTTCTTCCAAATAGTTTTCCATATCTTCACATACAATGAATTCATACAAAACAAACTAGTATAGAACTGATCAGAACAGGTTGATGAAGGCATTTTAGGTCTTCAAGACCAGACAATAAGGAAGTCAAGAATGGCTGTCATAATGTCTCTCATTCTCTTCATGTATGTTGAAATTAAACAAAACAAAATGGACTAAAATCACTCTGAACAAAGAATAATAGTATTGCTAGATTTCATATCTTGATGCTATGGAATCAGCATTGGGTACCTTAGTGTCTCTTTTTCTTCAGAGTAGCTGTTCATTTCATCATGCATTATATTATTGATTCTCATAATCTTTTTAGAAGTTCGACACATGCATGAGTCTCTACATGTATACCTGTCCTTTCCAATACAGAAATACTTAGTGCTTGCTTTGTGCTGGTAGCAAGCTGGGCTTGTCCTCTGATCCTTGTTGATTAGGGAAGCAGGTGGCCAGTAGAAGACACAGTAAGTCAGCAGCTGGGGAAATGGAGGAACAGCCAACCCAGGTGGCAGAGGGAGGCCAGGACTTCCTGACTGAGGTGGCATCCAAAGTGTCCTGGAGTCTGAAAAGGACTAGAAAGGTGAAGAGGGGCAGCTGAAGGTGGCCCAGGCAAAGGGTCATTCTTATGGGACGATGTATGTTTGGCTGCCTGTTTAACTCATGGCAAGATTTTAGGTGTGTGTGTGTGTGTGTGTGTGTGTGTGTGTGTGCGCGCGCGCGTGCCCGTGTCCGTGTATGTAAACTGTATGAGGACAGGTGAAGAGGAAGACAGAGAGTGGGAGAGAAAGGAGGAGGAACAGACACAGAAAATGAAAGACAAGTCAAGAGAGAAGGATAATGCAGCCCGGGAGCCGGAGGTTGGTTAGAGCTGAATGGAGCGATCTGAGTTCTGAAAACCTCAAGGAGGGATGCTTGGTAAAGTGTTGCCTGGAGCTTTCCCTGGCCTTGGGCCTGAGCCTGGGCGGAGGAGGGTCATCATGCCATTGCTAAAGTCACAGTTCTGCCGAGGAAAGGTGGCTGCATACAGCGACTCATGCTAAGCACTGCAGATTTCAAGCGGAAAGAGACTGAGGTAGGCTGACCAGGCGGGAAAGTCTTTCTGGAAGAGGTGAGTATGGAGAGCAGCTTTATGAGCGTACCGTGCACAGCTGGACTGAGTCTGGGCGGGTCCTGTCTGGGGTGCAGTGAGCGCTCTGCCTCTCCGTGGCTGACAGCGCACTCACACATTCCAGGGCTCAGGATGCTGGTGCTGCGAGCTGTTCTGCTGCTGTTAGCCCTTCCCAGCTGTGCTCAGGAAACCTCTGCTGCGGAATCAGAAGTCCCGCTTCCGCTGCCCAAGGGGGCTTGTGCAGGATGGATGGCAGGTATCCCAGGGCATCCCGGCCACAATGGGATCCCAGGCCGAGATGGCAGAGACGGCGCCCCCGGAGAGAAGGGTGAGAAAGGAGATGCAGGTGAGAACAAAGTTTTGGATTCCTTCATCACATCCGCTCCTGGGTAGAGGAGGCCCCTGAGGCTTGGACACAAGGAGGGAGAAAAGCTTTTTTATATAACACTTAAGCCAACTAGAATGCATGGAAGCTTGGTTTTCCAGGGGACAGGTTAGGCAGTGCCTCCGTATCCGAGTCCACTTGGACTCTACCCCGTCTGCGTCTTCTTACCCATTTCCCCTCCTCCATCACCTCATCACTTCTAAGCCCAAAATGTTCACACTCCTGTTCTTCTTTCCTCCTCAATCCCTGTTTCATCCAGTGGCATTCAATCACATTTACTGTACACCCTGAGAGTCTCCCCAGCTTTCCAGGGCCCTTGGTTCTAATGCATAAGACTTTTAGTAGTCACTATCAGGACGTCTACTCCAAGTATGCCAAACTGAATGTGAACAAATGCCCCAACACGTGAAACAAAACACAAAGACAATAACAAAACCAACCAACCAACCAAACAAAAAAAACCCAAATGCCCAAAGTGTGGGCCACAAGGAGAACATATTTCATGCAGAATTGGGTTAACTATGTGGCACCGTGGGGCAGGCAGCATTTGAGCAAGCCCTTGAAGGATGTGTAGGCAACCAGAGGAAAGAGCATCCTGGGTAGAGGGCAAAGAAGGGCAAGACTGTGGGTGACTGAGCTGGCACACAAAAGGGTGGCAGGGCAGGGGGCCTGTAATGGAAACCTGTAGGTTGGAGCTGAATGTGTGCGAACTTGCTGGGCTGTGGGAAATATAGACAGATACTTGACAAATGACTTAATGAGTAAATGAATGAATGAACAGATAAATGATGTTCAGAATACTGGCTGATCACTAAATTAGCACCTCTACCAGGCCAAACAGCCCAGAAGTCAAAGATTTTTTTTTTTTGCCTTTTTTGTTTTTATCGGTACCAGGGATTGAACTCACGACTGTCTGCTTGCAAGGCAGGCACTTATGCCGCTGAGCTAAATCCCCAGCCCCCAGAAGTCAAAGATTAGTCAGTGAGCTTTCAGTAGAGTTAAGAGACTGACTTTATTAGCTAGTTTGAAGGTTCAGTCTACTCAATCTTTTACTTGTTCATTCATCAAGAGTTCTTTTAAAGATATTTTGATTAGTGTATGTTAATTTTACAAAATATTGAGCTTTAGTGTGGCATTTATACACATGCCCATAATATGTTTTGGCCCTTTTTATCTTTAAGTGTCCCTCCCCTTTATTTAAGTGTCCCTCCCCTTTATTACCTTCTGTTTGTCTAACAGTGGGCTCAAGAGTCTTTTTATTGGTTGGAGTTGAATTTGTGGGAAGCTGCTGGTTGGTAGGCAATGCAGAGACAGGAGATGATGTCTCTCCTTGCTCTTCAGACTTGCTGTGGTTGGAGGTCCCAGAGACCATGGTTTCAGCTGGAAACAACTGAGGCAGCCCTAATCCTTGTGGTAACCAAAGTCTTCTTATTCTCTAGGTTTTGTTGGTCCTAAAGGTGACACTGGTGAAACCGGAGTGACTGGGGCTGAAGGTCCCCGAGGGTTTCCAGGAGTCCCAGGAAGGAAAGGAGAACGTGGACAAGATGCTTTTGTGTACCGCTCAGCCTTCAGCGTGGGGCTGGAGGCCTATGTCACAGTCCCCAATGTCCCCATTCGCTTTACCAAGATCTTCTACAATCAGCAGAACCACTACGATGGCACCACGGGCAAATTCCACTGCAACATCCCGGGGCTGTACTATTTCTCCTACCACGTCACGGTCTACCTGAAGGATGTGAAGGTCAGCCTCTTCAGGAACGACAAGGCTGAGCTCTTCACCTATGACCAGTACCAGGACAAGAACGTGGACCAGGCCTCTGGCTCTGTACTCCTCCATCTGAGTGTGGGTGACCAAGTCTGGCTTCAGGTGTATGGGAATGGAGAGCAGGCTGGGGTCTATGCAGACAATGTCAATGATTCTACCTTCACAGGCTTCCTTCTGTATCATGATCTCACTGATCCCTCCTAACTGAGAGCCTCCATCAGGTCACACAGCCCAGAAGTCAATGAAAGTTTTCAGTCAAGCTTTCAGCATAGTTACGAGATTGATTTTACTGTCTCTTTTGAGAGTTCTGAATGTTATCTCTATGCATTTAGACATCCGTTCGTTCATTCATTCATTCATTCATTCATTCATTCATTCCTGTTTCCCTCCCTCTAAAAATCACATAGTACATTGCCAGCCCTAAAGAAGACCTGGTCCCTCCAGGAGCTCTATTGGACAGTAGTAAAATTTGCTGATGGATTTCACACACATGATACGGCAACAATTACAAGGAAGTAGTAAACGATGCTTCATTGATGCCAATCCTGTGAGGCACCTGGAAAAGATATAAAAAAGACATTCTCTCTCTCTCTTTTTTCTTTTTCTTTTTTTTTTTTTTACAGTTATGGTCGAGACAGTGAGTGAATGTTCCAGGTCACAGCTCTTAAGTGGCAGAGTCCCAGACCCTTCCCACGAGCTACCCTTTTGTGAGAAGTACCTGGCCTCTTAGGAGTCTCAGTAGGGGTCTGTTCCCCACCTCTTCTCTGAATTTGCCTTCATCAAGTTAAAAGTTTTCCCCAGCAGAGCTCCCTTAGAGAAGAAGGTATCACTGTGCACCCCTGGCCTGCCCTGGCTGTGGTTTCTCTTCCTGGTGTCTCCCCTCACACTCTTCCTCCCAGCGGGTTGAAGGGCCTGCATTTCCCTGTGCCGTATCCCTCTGCATGCCTCACGGTCTCCTGGCTGGGAGCTTCTAAGATGTCCTGCTATCTTAGTCACTCTCTTGTCCCTGAGACTCAAGACCCAACACTGGCCACTTAAAGGAAGATAGGTTTATTTTGGCTTGTGATCATAGACTAGCTGGCTCCAAGACCAGATGACATGACACCAGATGACATGCTCACCTAGCCTGGCAGATGGGAAGCAGAGGGTGACGGGAGTGGCTGGGAGGGAGATGAATCCTCAGAGAACATATCCTGGGGACCCACCTCTTCTGAGACCACTCCCCTCTCCCCCAGTACCAAGTCCACTGCAAAGCCCATAATCCTGTTTCCTTCTAAGAGCTCCACCTAGGAGTGCCCAAGCTCTGCAGGACCCTGTACTTCCAGTGCCCTCTGTGTTTAGCCACTGCTGGATGTGGAGACATCCACCCTGAGGGGAAGGGCAGCATGGTGCTAAGGACCACATCCTTTGCCTCTGAATCCTTCACAAACGCCTCATGGAGAACAATCTCTTGAAGCCCATGTCTACTTAGCATTAACTCCTTTTCAATATCTCCACAGAACCAATTTTTATCTAAAAAAACACTTCCATCTTAGGAGTAGCCTGGTGTGAAACATTCCATCTTTGTTCACATATGCAGCTGGAATCTGTCCCACTGAGGTTAGGAATAATTGTGCTTTCTAAAACATTCTCCCTCAAGCTTGAGCCTGAAACACAGAACCTATGGAAGAATTTGGAAGCCATGCTTTCCATTGGTACTGATGAGTTCAGGGAAGATTTGGGCCTCTGGAATTTCTTCTTCTTTAAGAATTACAAGTGGTTGGGCTGGGGATTTAGCTCAGCAGCACAAGTGCCTGCCTGGCAAGTGTAAGGTCATGAGTTTGATCCCTGACTCTCTTAGGTGATAATGGCATGTGTAAAGTTCTTCAGAGTTTTTAGAAAGAGCAGAATTAATAACACAATAAATGAGTATAGGAATACAAAATCTTTTTTTTTTGGTTACAGTTTTCAGTACTGGATGATGCCCTTTTATGTGTATATTGCTATTCATTATGTGACTATTTCTACATATAAAGCTTTGTCTTTTACGGTGCTTTCATGTCATTATTTTTCTGCAAGCAAATATACTGTCCAGCATTAAAAATAAAATAATTTACTGCACATGACTTTTGTTTTTATTTCTGGAGAAATGTATGAGGAGTAAAATGGGATGAACTTCATATGAGCTAGGACTCTACATTCTGAATGTCAAAAAACCCTACCAGACTGGGTAGAAATTACCGTAGCTGTCCTGTGTTTCCAAGAAACCTCAGTGAATATGTCCTTGTTAGGACAGTGTGCGCCTTTGACCAATCACTGGAGCCTGGAGCATAGAATATATTTATTAACTTAAAGTTCACTGTGTGCTTCAAGACAGTGGTATTTTGCCTAAAACAAGAGATGTGTTACTAGAAGTGGGAGAATGAGTGACAAACACAAACTCTTGTGAATGAGTTCACAACAAACTCCTAATGCTACAGTTGAACTTTTCAGGCTTCTGGTGGGGGGATCGGAGAGAGAGAGAAAGTTGGAAAATTACTATTGATTTTCTCTAAAATTCCACAAGTAGCTAATATCTGGCTGGGCTCACGGTCCCCATTCGGCCACAGCACTGACCTGGTGCTACACTTACTCTGAGCTCTCTGGGACAGGTTACTTGTTTGGAGGAGCTGAAGGGCACAGAGATCAGTCTATAAAACCCCCTGAGAGAAACTGTGGTCAGGGTTTCAGCATGGATGGTCCTGTGATGTCTTTAAGTACAATTGCGAACTTCTCTATTTCTTACCAGTTCTGAGAGCTTTTGCTTCATATTATTTTGGGGCTCTGTTGTTCGATTTATATAAATATTGTGAAGATACCCCTTTATCACCACATAATGCCCTTTATCTCTGATAGTTTTCCCTGACCTGAAGTACATTTTATTTAAAACTAATATTTGCTCTCAAACTTTTGATTAGTGTTTATATTACCATTTTCTTCATCTTGACATTCATCTATAATACTATATTTAATATGTTCTTTTAAAACTGCATGTGGTTAGGCTTTTCTAGACATTAAATCTGAAAATTTTTGCATTTTAGTTGGTGTTTAAAACTTTATTTTTGGTAAAATTGTTGCTATGGTTGGGTTTGAGTTTACCATTTTATTTATTTATTTATTTTTTTGTTTGCTACCTCTATTTTACTCTCTTTCCTAACTACTTTTGAATTATTTGAATTTTCATAGTATTTTATTTTAGTTGTGGGCTTTTTTGCTAAGATTCTTTGTAGTATTTTTTTAGTGGTTACTCTTGAAAGTATAATGTACCCAACTTTTTATAGTATAGTATATGTAGAGTTAACATTTTACTATTTCAAACAAACTATGGAAGTCATTTTTTTTTTTTTTTGGTCTTTTTGAGACAGGGTCTCACCATGCAGTTCAGGCTGGCATTGGTCTTATTTTGTAGCCCAGGCTGGTCTCAAACTTGCAACAATCCTCTTGTCTCAGCCTCCTGAGTGCTGAGATTATAAGAGTGTGTCACCATGCTTGGTTAGAAGTCTTACAGCATACAGATTCTTTCATCTTTTTCTTTTGTGATCTAGTTTTCCCTAAATTATATCCATATACACTGAAACATCATTTTTGCCTTCAGTAGCATTTTAAGTACTTTAAGCCATATTTTAAAGAATTTAGGATGAAAAAACATTTGTTCAGATGTTTGTCTTTGTTTCTTTATTCCTAAATTTCCCTGTCTCCCTCTGGTGTAATTTCTCCTCAATGCAAAGGATCTCCTTTAGTATTTCTTTTAGATCAAATCTGTTGATGTTGGCTTTTTTATCTGAAAGTGCCTTTATTTTGCTGGAAGTACTTGAGGGTATTTTTACCTTACTGTTGTCTTCTATCAAAGATATTATTTCACTGTCATCTGGCTCAATTGTTTCTGATGAGAACCTGTGATCATAGTCTCCCTTATGTGGAATTTACAATTTTTTCTTCTTGCTGCTTTCCAGATAAGTGTGTGTGTGCATATGTGTGTATGTGTGTGGTACTGGGAGCTGAACTCAGGGAGTGTTGTTCTACATTCTCAGTCACTTTTTAAATTTTGCTTTTTTCCCCAAATTCATTTTATTTCAAGGAAGAAAAGAAAAAAAGGGAAAAAACCCTAAAAATTTCAAAATATGTCAGTCAGGGGCAACAATGGTGCATACAATGCACATTGTAATCCCCAAATCATTCACCCAGAGCACAAGACATCTGAGTTCAACTGTCTGAACAATACTGATACAAATCTCTCTCTTCAGTGAGCTTCAGCAGTATAACTATCTTAACTATTTTTATATACATATAAATATACAAATATATATTTTTTTCAGCTTCTTACACTAATGAGGCAATACAATGTTTACATGTGTCTCATTTATTTCATTTATGAGTATAATCTCAAGTCACATCTATTTATCTATAAAAGTCTCCAGTTTATCCTTCTTTATAGCTGAGTAGCACTCCATTGTAGAAAAATACCACATCTTTTATATCCGCTGCTCAGTCGATGAGCATTTAGGTTGTTTCCAAGATCTGGCTATTACAAATTGTGCTGCTATAAACATGAGTGCACATATATTACTGTGGTATGATGTTTTTAATTTTTTGGGAAGATACCCAGAAGGAGAATAGCTGGGTCAAATGGGACCTCTAGTCCTATCTTTTTGAGGAATCTCCACACTGATTTCCACAGTGGTTGTACCAGTCAGAATTCCCACCAACAGTGGAGCCCCTCCTTTCTACACACAGCCCTTCCAGTGTTTGTTGTTGGTTGATTTCTTGATACTAGCCATTCTTTCTGGGGTGAGGTTGTTTTAATTTGCATCTCTCAAATGACCGTGATGTTGAACATTTTTTCACACGTTAAATTTTACTTTGGAATAGGGTTTTCCTAGGCTGACATCTAGACCCATCTTCACATTTGATTTACAACAGTTTGGTTGTAATAGGTTTGAGTGTTTTCGCTGAGTTTGACCAATTTGAGATGTACTGCACTTCTTGAATCTGTACATTGATGTCTTTCAGCAAATTAAAAAAGTTTTCTCTCCTTGTTTTTTTAAATACATTTCCTCAGTCAACTTCATTCTCTTCTGTTTCTGGAATTTCAATAACATGATAGTTCACAGCAACAGGTTTCTGAGGTGGTGTGAATTTTTCCTTCCTGTTCCTTTTATTATATTATTTACGTTGATCTTCGAGTTTACAGACTCTTTCCTCTGTCAATCTCTGTTCCGCTATGAAGCTCATCCAGGAAGGTTAACTGAGGTATTATGTTTTTCAGGTTCAAAATTTTTATTTTTGTGCCTATGTGTATTTCCCTTTCTCTGGTGAGCACTTTAATGCGTCTTTTATTTCAAGAATGTTCTTATTTACCTCATGGTTATAGTGGGCATTGGTGGTTCCAACTTGGGTCATCTCAGGGTTGGTATCTTTAGACTTTATTGTCTCTTGAGTATTGGTGATATTTTCCTTGTTGTTTATGCACTGAGTAATTCTGGATTGTATCCAGAATATTTTGGATATTGTGATGCAAGTTTCTGTTTCTCTCTTAAAATCTTCTGGTGACTGTTGATGGTTTGTTTGTGTGAGCAGACAATGAACTGGCTTAGGTTCAGACTACAAGTTGTGTCATCTTCCATGCATGGGAATTTCGATGTCACTTTAGGTCTTGACACTTGGCTATGCTGTATATCGCATATACCACTTAGAGTTTATTCTGGGACTTTCCAGTTTAGCTCTTGCAGACCTTGCTTCTACTTTGTGGCTATTCTGTGGGTACATGGCAGAGAACTGAGTCTGGGATTTATGTAGGCTCCTATGCAGAATTAAGAAGATGTCCCTTTCTAGCCCAATCATTTCTGGCACTTTCCTCCAGCTCCTAAGGGGCCCTTCTTTTTCTGAGTCTTCTGACCAAGATCTAGATGCTCTTAAGGTTTTATTTCCATGGGCTATTTTGCTTGTGTGAAAGGGGCTGTTTTGGTGATAAAGCCATGAGAAAAAGAAAGAAAAACGAAGTAAAAGATTATTTTTTACTCTGAGGAGCCTGATCCCTTTCACTATTTCTCTGGTCAGAGAGAGCTGGTGTGGTGGCCATGCAGGTTGGTGGCTGGGGCTCATCCCCAGACAGGGCTGGGAAGACACAGAAGTGTGTTATATTCCCTCTCAGGCAGAGTTTCCTTTTCTGGCATTCTGGAGAGTGAGAGGTGATTTTTCCTGACAGTGCTTACTACACCATTCCAAAACCTTGGCCTATTTTTAAGTTAAACTATGAAAAAGAGAAGATGATAACACTCTAGGAAGTTCATCTAGGCTATGTGTATTCCTTAATATTGGTATAAAGGAGTTTCTGGGCCAGAGCTAAGGTTTAATCTCAGTTCAACTTGTGGACCAAGCCAGGGTTCTGACCAAGTTAAGGGTCTGATTGTGGGTATGCTGGGGACATCTGCCAATGTCCTGCCATTTCTCCTCTGAGGTGGGCTGTTCCTTGGCCCTAGCCCTCAGCAGCCTTTGGTCCACTCTGACCCCTCCTAGAGATCACTGAGTGGACCAGGTAGGTGCTTGAACTAAGCTGAGTGCTATGGTTTGAATGTTGGATTTCTCCAAAGTTCAAATTCAAATTAGTAGCCTTATAGCAACTGCCTGGCAAGTGCAAGGCTCTGAGTTTGATTCCTGGTGCAAAAAACAAAAAAACTTCCCAAAACAAAAACAAAACAAACAAACAAGCAAAAAAACCCAGAAGGAGTAGGAAAAGGAAAAGAACAAATTAGTTGACAGTTTAACAATACTGAGGTAGAACCTTTAACAAGTGATTAAGTCATGGAGACCCCATCCTCATGAATGAATTAATGTTGTTATTCTGGACATAGGTTGACTATCTTGGGTTGTCTCTTTGCCCTTCCATAATGGGGCAACACAGCGAGGTCTTCCCCAGATGCTGGGATCTTACTCTCTGATTTCCCAGCCTCCGCAACTGTGAACCAGTGAATTTCTATTCTTTATAAACTACCCAGTCTTTGATATATTGTTATAGCAGTGCAAAGCAGACTAAGATATTGGTTCACCCAGACTCCTGTGGAAATTCAAATTGAGATGCGTGC